ATTGATTATCATCAAACCTTTGACTCAGTTCCATCCTCATAAATTGTTCATTTATTGAAAATATATAAAAATAGATACAAGTATAATGATAGCCCTAGAACATTTATATGCATGTAGAAGACTATTCTTCAATTACAACATGCCAGCAACATAATAAGATAAAGAACAATTCATGTGAAAGATGGCATTTTGGGGGCGAAATTTTAATTTCATTGTGGTTCTGCTTAGCTTTAAACTAGTTATCTCTACTAAATAGAAGTATCACTTCTAAGTTAAAGTAATTGAACCAAAACATCTTATTAATCACTTCATGAACAAAGATCACATCAAGTTATTTGGTTCCACCAAAAAAAAAACATTGTGCAGTTTCTTCATCTTGTGAACTCAACTGTTTCTCTGGATATCAAAATGTCATTTGAACTCAGTAAGTGTAAAAATTTTAATGTACAGTAAGGAAAGATAAACACTAATGGCTTCAAACTTAAATGCAGAGCTCAGATTGAACCAATGGGGAAAGCCAAGTTTTAGTCTCCCATAGGCAAGACATATCAAGAATTAAGTTCAAGAAGAAAGCTGTGGCCAAGAATGTTAAGAGACTTACTAATGTTTAAAGTAATTAGAACCTTTATAACAGACACTTTTGGAACTATAAGAAAGACTATGAGAGATTTTAAAAGTATCCTTGTAAATACCTATACAATATTTACAAAATCCAAGACCTATCATGCTATGCCAGTCATAGAAAATGAACACTTCTTCCTCAGAAAGAAAGAAGAGAAATGACAAATGTTTTCAGAGCACTTAAGAAATAGGTTAGAAACATAGGAATTCTTTTAGAACAAGTAGCTATCACTGAGTAATAGTAAAAGTTGAAAATAAGCATATGTCACTGGATTTGTCAAATGGATCTGATAATGGTTTAACTCTGGATGGAGCCTATGAAGCAACTAAGACCCAAGAATGGAATCACAAGGCCCTTTATCAGTACTCAGATAACAATATGATGACAAAGAAATGTCAAGTAAATGTCCAAGTCATGCAAATTTGTTTATAGGAAAAGAGAGGTCAATTATGACAATTCAGGATCAGGTCATCTTCACCAGAAATTACAGAAGAACTAGACTTAAGAAATCTGATCTTATCGATCAATGCAGATAATGAAAGGGAACAGTAGAATTGTGCTGTACATTATAGCAAGATGCAAAAAAATTTATCACTTACTGAATACATAGTACAACATGACCTGCTGGTTATAATTATACATCAGAAACTCACTGTCTTGCATAAGCTAACAGATGGAAAATCTCCATTCTACTAATGTAGACTTTAAAGTTTGCTGGAGAACCCAACAACTAAACCCTACTATAACTAGAGTTTTATCACAGATGGAACTGTTGCCTAAAACCACCCAGATATAATATTGATCCATAAAACTTTGAGAGTAATGTTTTAATAGATGTTGTCATACAAAATTCTCATAATTTCCAAGCCATGTGGAACGAAAAGCTTTCAAAATAGAGACAGCAGTAACCACAAGAATGATAATAATAAGGAAAACAATAGCTATGGCACCTGCCATGTGCCAGGCATTGTACAAAGCACTTTACAAATATTATTTCAATTTGATCCTCACATCAACCTTGAAAGGTAGGTATCTTATTATCTCAATTTCACAGTTGAGGAAAATTAGGCAAACAGATTTAATGACTGGCCCAACATCACACAGCTAGTATAACAATAATGATAATAATAATAATAGTAACAACATGCTAAAAAAAAAAAGAGAGAGATCAACTTGCTGACAAAGGTCCATATTGTCAAAGCTATGGTTTTTCCAGGAACAATGTATGACTACAAGAGCTGGACCATATGGAAAGCTTAGCACTGCAGAATCAACATGTTCAAATTGTGGTGTTGGAGAAGGTTCTTAAGAGTCCCTTGGACAGCAAGGAGATCAAATCAGTCAATACTTAAATAAGTTAATTCAGATTATTCTATGGAAGGATGAATACTAAAGCAGATACTTAAATACTGTGGCCCCATAATGAGAAGACAGGACTCATTGGAAAAGACCCTGATGTTGGGAAAGATTGAAGGCAAAAGAAGAAAGGGAGGACAGAGGACAAGATGGATAGATAGTGTCATGGAAGTAATGAACATGAGCTTGGCCAGACTTAGGGAGATAATAGAGGATAGAAGGACCTGGCATGCAATGGTCCATGAGGTCATGAAGAGTTGGACAGGACTGAACAGCAGCAACATGGAGCATTTACTACATTCCGGACACGATATGTTAAGCACTTTACAATTACTGTCTCCTTTGATCCTCACAATAACCCTGTGTTTTTACTGATAAATATGTAAATTACATCAAGTTTTAGCAAACAAAAGATCAGGCTTTCACTGGCAAAATTTTCCACAAATCAGTATTTATCTCTAAACTGTTATTACGCCTCCAAACCCAGTACTTTTTTGTCTGTACATGTTTTCCCTCTGAATTGCATAATTACAGATATTTTAAACGTTGCTTATTTTAAATAGTTTAGGCAATATTTTTCATAAATGAGTAGAACCTATTTTTTGAGAGTGAATTCCTGTAGAATTTTTAATACCATTATGCTTCTTTCTTTCCGTTTCCAAGAGAATTTTCTCGGGTCCTTTCCACCCTTCTTCCTACACAAGTATAACTACAGCATGTGGGTTTCCCCAGTGATCCCCTGAGGCCTGATTAGCATCTAAATTTCCTTCTTTAATAAAAAATTCAATCAGGAGTCGCTTAATGTCCCTGATTGGGTTTTTAAGTACAAAACAAAATAGTGGTGCCAGTTGAGCTGTAGGAGAAGTGCTGAGGAGATCCTCAGGGGCCCTCTAAAGAAGAAGAACAGGTATTTTTTATTCCACTGATTTCCAGGGGTTACAGATCTACACAGGATTCCTACCTCTGTGGGGCCTGATGAACACATCTAATTTATGTTGTGTTGAGAAACTCAATCAAAGAGCAACCAGAGGAACCTCGTTGAGTCTGGGAACAAAGCACCTGAGGCTCTAATCCTTGCCTGGAAACCTTTTTCCTGCTGGGCAGAAAGAAGTGAGCCCCAGGATATGAATGGAAAGTAGTGGCATAAATGATGATGGGGAGGAAACAGATATAAAGTATGACACACATTTTAGATTTGGCCAATGCAGAAATTTGATTTGCTTGAGATAGATAAGTATGTAGATATATAGATATGTAAGCACATACACACAAATACATATATGCACACATACATACATACACATATACATACATATGAAACCCTTGATATATAGATATAAATACACACACATTTTTATGTGTGTGTGTGTATGTATATATATCAAGGATTTTTCTTTTCTTTTTCCCCCCAGGGAAGTGGGTAGGAGGTAGAAGGGACAGAAAATAAATACTTGTTAATTGAAAAAAAAATCAGAAAAAAGATACGATAGCTTACAAATTCAGAGAATTCAAAGGCAGAGAAAAAAGAAAGGTCTATGTATCTTACACATAAAGTCCAAATGGTTTTATGCCATAGTTTGACTCAAAATTTTCCTTGTTAGAAATATTATATCTGACCTGTCTGGCCAAACCTTTCTGGTTTGCAGGGTTTGTTTTTTTTTTTTTTTTTTTTTTTTGATTATAGTAGTATTTTAGGATTGAGAAAAGACTGTTAAGTAAAAGGCATATTGATTGTCTTGATTCTCAGAATTTACTGATCCTCTTACTTTGCTAGACCTATGTAGTATATCTTTTAAGAAGTCTCAAAATGAGAGGCTCAAGTGAGCAAGGCAGAACTAAAGGAACGTGGACTTTGGGATTGTTTTCCTGCTTCCCTTGAAGTCCGGGATCTTTCTTGGCTCAGCCTGCCAAGCTTGAGATCTTTTTCTGCTTCTCCCTATGCTTAGTGATGTTTCTTGTTCTTCTTGTTCAGTCATTTCAGAATTTTTAATCACAAGTCTTCAAGCACATTATTGAAAGGACATGCTACCTCACTTAACACCAAAATTTCCCAGAAACTATCCCTACGGCTTGATGAAGAAATGTCTCATTCTAATCAACTAATCAACTCTCAATCATCCAAACTCATGGAAGGGAACCCTTGTCATGCAGAATTCCAAAGAGCAGATAATCCAAAGAAGTGGAGTATTCAACTTTGAAATGTGTTTATGTAGCAAATTTAACTTGTGGGTAACATTTTGGTCAGTCTGGTATTAAAATGCATCTTCTGTGAATTTGGATAGACCACATCTCAAATTATGTTCCCACCAAAATGACAATTCTGTGTTATAAAAGACTACTATATAATATACCTAACCCACAAGGTAGGTGTTAGTTCTTTATAGCCTCCTATTATAAGAGCATGTTCTGTAGTTATCATTGTCTCGGTATGCTTAAAATAAGTCTGGGAGAAGTCACCTGAAAGGGTTCTCTGGAGCAGAAGGAAGCCAATCAGGGATGTAAATATGCTATGGATGACCCATTAGGTAAAATAACCTATATGAAAATAATAATGGCTTACCTAAATTGTTATTTGATTGCTTTCTCTACCAGAAGATATTCCCAGGGGTGGGTAACCTGCAGCAGGCACAGCCCTTTGACTGAATCCAAACTGACTGATCACACTTGAGGACGTTGACGGCCACATGTGGCCTTGAAGATGCAGGTTCCCCACCCCTGTTCTACACTATGACATGTGGGCCTAATATTTCAACCCCAGTATGGAAGCAAGACTGTGGAGATAAAGTCTCTCTACATAGCTGCATAGAGGAAGCATTTTTAAAATGTTCTGATTGGTTAAGATAATAAAGGCATTGCCATTGGTGTATTCTGTAATGCCCCCAACTATAAGAGGTTACCATGCTTTCCTACTTTGGGAAGGTAGATGTTGTAAGCTTGAGCTATGCCAAGGTTGAAATAATTTATATTGTTCACTAAAAATGTCCACCAAAAAAAAAAGAATTAAAATGCTGGTGTTTTTCAGGTGGCTGAACTAGTAACCAGTGAGTTCTTTGAACAAGGAGACAGAGAGAGAGCTGAACTCAAACTCACCCCTTCAGTAAGTTTATTCTTATTTTTATGAAACTGAATCAGAAAATGAATCTCTCAGCTATCAAGTAGCTGAAAGCAAGAGGGTAAATAAATGGGGAGAAACAGGTTTGAAAGTTGAAGAATCTAAATTTAGACACAGCTACCAAAGGGCAATTTCTCCAAATGTTCTGAGTAAGGGAAACAAGGGCAGAAAGTTTCTCAACAAGCATTTACCTAGCACCTAGAAAGCCCTGTAGTGTAGCCAGCAAGAAGTAGAGATATAGGACTGTGGGCAAGGTGGCACACAGGTGATACTGAATAAATACTTGTCTGACTAATACAAAAGAAAATGAAGTCGAATATAAGCCCCTTGAGGAAAGGGACAATTTAATTTTTCATTTTGCATCCTCAGACCCTAGAACAATGCACTATGTGTGGCACTGGCTTAGTAAATGCTTGCTATTTTGAGAAGGAAGGAAAGAAGGAAGGATTTTTTTTAAATTTAATAGCACTTTTAAATTCACAAAATAGAAGGAATCACAAGCAATCAAGACAGCTTTGAAAGTTACATGTTTACATGTTGAATATATTATATACTTTAAAAGAAAAAGCAAGCTTCACATAATCACAGTTTCATGTACAATCTTCTTTTTCTGCTCAACTATGTAAATAGAAATTTTATTTGGTATTTATTAAATTCCAAATTTTAAATTAAAAGAAAGAAAAAAGATGAAAGACAAAGTCTCTAGCCTTGAGGAGGAGAAAACCAAGGCAAATGATTATAGTAAAGAACTAGGCATTCTCAATGTTGTTTCTCTCTTACTGAATTCCTAGTATCATAAGTAAGTCCTTTCATATCTCTTTCATTTCTCAGTTTTAAAAATGTAGAGTACATACCCCCCCACACAATCCTTTCCTGTCTTTTTTTTTTTTTTTTTTTTTTTTTTTGCAATTGGCATTAAGTGACTTGCCCAAGGTCACACAGCTAGTAAGTGTCAAGTGTTTGGTCTGAGGCTGGATCTGAACTCAGGTCTTCCTAGCTTCAGGGCCAGTGCTCTATCCACTGCACCACCTACCTGCCCCCACCCCTTTCCTGTCTTAGAAGGGCATTATATATGTTTATTAAAGTCTGAGTGACACTCAGAAGCCCAAAGATGGATGATCCTGGAGAGTGAACAGTGTCTTTATACCCATTTTGTGCCCGAGCATTCAGAAAGAATCCTCTTGTCAATACATCAGTACAGAAAGCACTCTTCCCTCTCAACCTGACTCTTGCTAGATTCTAACATGCAAGTCAAGATCATACGCAAATTTAGTGAAAAAGACACCAGTTATCTCTGTGAAGCAAAGTAAATGCAGTAACTTGGCTGTTGGGAGGTATTTATGATTTGTGGGAAATCTGGGCATAGGGAGTCTTGGTTTTGATGGCATTAAAAGACAGAGAAAATTCAACAGAACAAGTTCCCAGAGGATGGAGATTTGTTGGTTCTGCTTATCAATCATAGTCAATCAATCAATAAACATTTATTAAGTACCTCCCATATGCCAGGCACTATACTAAGCTTGTGTTGAGTCGAGCTTTTTACTCCAAATGGGTTGGGACTGCTCCTGCCTGGAAGGGCTCTAGACTCACCAGCTCCCTTCAAAGATCAGCTCGAGCACAGCCTCCTCAATTAGTCTCCACTTGGCCTTGGCTACTAATGCCTGACCTCCAGAAGTACTTTGTTTTTGGCATGTATGTTCTTTCATTTATTTACGTGACATAGATTATAGATTTAGAGCTGGAAGGAACCTCAAAGCCCATCTCATTCAACCCTTCATTTTACACAGAAGAGAAACTAAGGCTCAGGTAAGTTAAAGTCACACAGGTCATAAGTATAAGCATTATCTTCCTTGATGGAATAGAAGCCCTTTAAAGGCAATGACTTTCATCCTTGTATTTGTAGCCCCAATGCTTAATATAGTACCTGCAACATAGTAGGTGCTTTATTGTTGAGTTGTTTCCTCATGACCCCATTTAGGATTTTCTTAGCAAAAATATTGGAGTGGTTTGGCATTTCCTTCTCCAGCTCATGTTACAGATGAGGAGACTGAGGCAAACAGGATTAAGTGACTCACCCGGGGTCACATAGCTAGTAAATGTCTGAGGTCAGATTTGAACTCAGGAACGTGAGTCTTCCTGACTTCATGCTCAGTGCTCTATCCACTGTGCCATCTATCTGCCCCAGTAAGTGTTTAATAAATGCTTATTAGTATATTAATTGATTCTAAAAGTCCATCTACATACAAATAGATTTCTACACATGGACCAGAATTATTTTAGTTTTCAAAGCAGTCACTAATTTTATTATTTTCACATCAGTTTAAAAAATAAAAAGTCTACTTCCTTGCAGGAACCATGGAGCTGGTAACTGTAAGAGAGAATTCAAATCCAATAACCAATAAATAGCCTCTATTATGGGCAAAGCAATGTTAGATCCCTCTCTTTTTGGTGTAGAGGGGAGGATACAAAAAATAAGTAAAACCAAGCCTTTGTTCTCTAGGTACTTACAGTCTAACAGAGTGGAGGAGAGAGATTCAATATTATTATAAGAGGCAGAATGTGACAAGTTCACAAGAGAAGTAAAAAAGGAGGGGAGTGGGATGGGGGTGTGTGCTATGAGAGGCCTCAGGCAGTGTGACTGAGTTTGATTACAGAAATAAAGCTCTTGGACTGAAGTGCTCAGCGTTTATGTCTGAAGGCTATGCGTGACCCAAGTGGCTTTCAACTGCACACACTTTCAGAAGGTTTTTTTTTCCTTTTAAAAACTGCTTCCCAGGCAGCAACTGAAGGGTTTACAATGCAGCAATACCACAGGTCATTTAATTAAATGAGAAAAATATGAGTAAATTGCCAGCGTTGTAGAGCTGGATGCTGCAATGAAGCAGAGCTAAGGAGCCTTTGTCTGTAGGCTCAGGTAAAGGGATTATCTGAAAGGCATGAATGTAATTAATTTGACCCAAGTCTAAATGAGACTCTTTCTTCACAAAGTGTCACAGGAAGAGAAACTGACCCTTATAATGAGGCTGATTGGCTGAGGCCTTCCATGACAGCACTAGGAAGGCATGCAAACAATTACCAAATTTCATCTTCATTTTTTCTTGTCAGATTAGACAGGGATGGGGAACCTGCATCCTCAAGGCCACATGTGGTGCTCTAGGTCCTCAAGTGCTACCCTTTGACTGAATCCAAACTTCATAGAACAAATCCCCTTAATACAAGGATTTGTTCTGTAAAACTTGGACTCAGTCAAAAGGCCACACCCAAGGACCTAGATGGCCAAATGTGGCCTCAAGACCCCAGGTTCCCCATCCCTGTTAGGATAACTCAAAAGACCCAGGATTTCACCAGTGTAGGTAGGTAGGCCTCTCCTGACATAGGTCAGAAGGTCTTCATGAGTGGCAATAGTTGAATAAATTCATGATAATAGCTAGCATTTAAATAGTACCTACTATGTGCCAGGCACCATGCTAAGCACTTTACATTTATTATCTCATTTGATCCTCACAATTTGATTACCTCACCTGGGAGGTAGGTGCTTTTATTATCTCCATTTTACACATGGGGAAACTGAGGTAAACAGAGGGTAAATGACTTGTCTAAGATCACACAGTAAGTGTCTGGGTCTGGATTTGAAATCAGGTCTTCCTGACCCCAGGCCCAGGGCTCTCTCCATTGTGCCACCCAGCTGCCCTGGTGACCAGCCTTCTGGGGATGACAATTTCTTAACCAAGCTAGGTTGGTCCTGAGCAGACCAGGAAGAATAAGGAGTTGAGAATAAGCATTGAGGTAATGAAGATGAGAAACTGAAAGAAAAGTGGTGGCATTGATAGAAATAGGGAATCTGCAAAAAGGGGAGAGTTAAGAGGAAAGAGTACGTGGGAGCAGGAGACAGGGGTGGTGACAAAGCTTGAGAAAACATTGAGATGTGGAAGAATTTTAGTTCTCAGTGAGGGCAAAGATGGTGTTTGGAAGGAATGAGTCATAGAGAGAGATGGAATGATAGGAAGTTATGGTCAGAGAAATGGCAGTGTTTTATCATGGAAGTGGAACACTTGTGAGTAATAGTGAAATACAGGATAGGGTCATTCCTATGCTTGACTGAGATGGAGTGGAGAAGTAAGCCATGGGATGTAAGAAGATTGAGATTAGTGTATTTAAGGAAGCACCAATATAAATGTGGAGTTTTCTTTACTTTGTTGTTCAGTCATGTCTGATTCTTTGTGACCCCATTTGGGGTTTTCTTGGTAATGTTACTGGAGTTTGCCATTTCCTTCTGTAGCTCACTTAACAGATGAGGAAACTGAGGGAAATAGGGTTAAGTGATTTGCTCAGGGTCACACAGTTAGCAAGTGTCGGAGTCCAGATTTGAATTCAGAAAGACTCATCTTCCTGACTTCAAACCCAACAAAGTCGGGGAGAAGAGAAAGGCAGTCAAACATTATTGATTACCACATGTCCAAGTCTGATCTGAACAGAAAGAATTTCTCAGGTTAAGCAAAGCAAGATATATTTTTTAAAAATTTTATGGAAACAGAATCCAAAGACAAGTGGTATGGTACAGGGAAATGAGAGGTGCATACTGGCAGGACAGGGTGTTAATAAAACTATTCAAATAATAAATTGATTATGTTCGAAGGCAGACCAGCGAGGCTTAGCAAGCTCAGGAGGAGCCAGCAGAGTATTTGGAGAAAGGTAAAATATTATCAGACATTATCAGTGTTATCAGTAACTGAAATTACACAATTGACTAAGTACAGGCTTTTCATTGTTCTCCCTAGAGGCAGAAAAGTTTAATTTCTTCAAATTAGTAATACCTAGTCTGTCCAAAGACCTTTTCATTTATGTAGGGCTTTCTAGACATGGAGCTGAAAAAGGCGAGCTTAAAGTCCTCATTCCAAAGATGTAAATTCGGAAATTCTATGAAGGAAGGAAACCCTCTAATAAACATATAAAATAAGGTATTGATAATAATAAAAGCTGACAAATTAACAACCTCCCATGAAGTAGGTGAATGTAAATTTTTTTTTATTTCAGACAAAGCATCTATTTAGGGCTCTTTGCCAACGTATCCCATTCTACTTTATTTCACCTCATACTTAGAATGAAAACCTGCTGTATTTTCATGGTACTAAAATCCATGCCCTCCCCTTAAACTGGGTACCTACTTCCTACTGACTTGATTTTAGCAGGAGTTCCCATATTTGTAAATATTGTTGGCCCCAAGTAGTTACATGCTATAAAACTCAAATAAATTTGGCTTACAAATCTCATTAAAAAAACAGGTAAAATCATTTATTTTTCATCCTAGAAAAAAGAATAAGATGTGTGTGTACATGAGTGTCAAGATTGGTTGTGATCTGTGAAGGGTTCAGTTTGTAAAAATTGGATCATGGCTACAAAGGATTAGATGAAGCATGTGTAAAATACCTATGTGTAATAAAATGTGTGTGTGGTTTCTTTTTCCCCTTCATTGTAGGCTATTTTTGATCGAAACCGAAAAGATGAGCTGCCTCGGTTACAATTGGAATGGATCGATAGCATCTGCATGCCTCTGTATCAGGTAACTTTTGCATATGAGTGTCTGAAAGCCCTATCTCACCTAGGAAAGTAAAAGTAAGATATAATAGCCTTGGAAACCTGGATATTCTCAAAACTTTTCAGGGCCTTTTTGTAGTGCTTGAAACTTGATTTGCTCTCTTTTCTCAGAATACTGAACATCCAATGGGATAAGGAGTCAGTGGAACTGATTCCCATTCCCTATCTGCTGTTTAGTGACCTTGGGCAGGTCACTAACAGTCTCTCTCAAAGCCTATATTGTCTCATCTGCAAAATAGATTTTAAGAGAGAAGGGCTAGGTAAGATAATATCTTGTAGTCCTTTCTAGCTTTATGGTCTATGATTTTATGAGTGCCTGAAACAAGTGGGATGGATTTGGAGTCAGGAAGATCTGAACTCAAATCCCTACCTCTGAAGAAATACTTGTTGAACACAAGGATGGTTCTGCTATGGCATCTCTTCTCTTCATTGATTTTTAGGGGGAAAACTATTTTTTTTGTTGTTGTTTGGTGGTTTTCAGTTGTGTCTGACTCTTCATGGCCTCATTTGGAGTTTTCTTGCCAAAGACATTGGGAACGGTTTGCCATTATTATTAGCCATGTTTCTTTGAGCAAGTCATTCAAACTCTCTGAGCCTCAGTTTCCTGTAAAATGAGTTTAACACAGATAGCCCCTAGTGTATCTCATGAAGTTATTGTGAGACTCAAATGAGATATTTGTAAAGTGCTTTGAAAAGTGCTCCGAGTTCTTTAATAAATATTTTTAATATTATTTTTCTTATCATTATTATTAATGTCACCAAACTATGTTTGACAATTGCATTTTAATATGATATATCGGTATAACATATTATATAATTATATAAATATAATATAATAATATAATAAATAGTTTGGCTGAATCAAAGCCATCCCCCCTATGTCTTCACTTCAGAAGTAAAGACAATAGTGAACTCTTCCATTCAAGCACCACTTTGGGGATCTAGCTTATTTGGGAGAAAGGAAGGCTCTCTTATATTAGCAGTGACAGCTCAGTGTACACTGACAATTTAGTTTTATTTCTATTTATTCATTTGGAAAAGGAAAACCTGGTTTGTTCTTTACCCCCTACTTAGTGCAAATCAGATTGGGCCTCATTTTCATTTCAGAGTGAAAAGCCCATGTAGAGAGAGCAAAATCTATTTAGTTTCTCACTCTATGTAACTTCCATTAACAAACATTGTATTTTTTGAAAAGACTCTGCAGCCATTATTCCTAAGTCTTATCTACTCCTTCATTTTTAGTACTTCTGAGATAGCTTGGCTTTTTCACATTAACCTGGAAAAAGAGCTGTCATGAAGATGGAAATTTCGTTTCTCTAATAGCTATAAATAACTGATGCATATTCATTCTTTGAGTTTTAAATTATCCATTGAATCAGTAATAAAATGAAATCTGAAGTGCAAAGTTGAAAGGGAACCTAAAAATAGATATAGTCTAAATATAAAGAGCATGAAGTATCCTTGTTCTTTTTAAAAATTGAAGCATTGAGTGGAAAAAGTTCTGGAATTAAAAACACCACACACTAGTAACATCTACTTTTATTTCTGTTATTCTATTTATAAAAAATAAAGTTCTGACTCTATAACTCCATTTGGACAGGATCACTTTATTGTCCTTAGTCATATTTACTTATTCAACTTCAGCTAAGTCCTTGTCATGAGTCAATAATGATGAGCAGTAGCATGGTGTAGAAGAGGTGGCTTCAGAAAGCCAGAAAGACCTGCCTTCAAGTCCTGTCTATGACATATTGTAGTTAGGAGACCTTGGCAAAGTCACTTAGGCTCTCCAGGTTTCAGGCAGCTCTCAGAGAGTATCAGTCATAGACTGACTACCCATCAGTGTTGGTGGAAGGAGTTTGTTTTTTCCGGGTTTTGGGGGGGTTTTTTTGCTTAGAAGTTTCATATCTCAATGATATCACACATCTAGTCCCTATTGATTAGTCAGTCTAATGAGATTTTCTATAAGAGCTGCCTCTTTCTCATCCCAGGAATGCTCAAATTCAGATGCAATAAGCCATATAACATCCTCAAGACAGAGACAATACAATTCCCATGAACCAACTAGTATTGTCTATTATGTGTCGGGTGTTGGGACTATAAAGACAAAAATGATACAACTCCTTGCCCTGAAGGAACTTATATTCAGTTAAGATGGGAGTTCCTGAGGACCAACATAGGCATGACCTCCTACACAAAATAATTACTTAATAAATGCATGTTTACTGATTGACTGATATACACAAAATCCTGACTATTTGATCTATCTCCCTAGGTTAGGTTTGGGAGGCTGCTAAGAGCATTAACCTGGCACTCTGACTTGCTATACATGAATATAAGCACATTCTTTTGACTTAAATTATAATAAATGTTGAAAATGGTCTTCAGGTGTTTGTCACTATCAAATCACCTGACCCTTTTCAGCAGAGTGACACAGATCTCTTTGCTCATTCTTTATTTCTTTTTAAGTATTGTGAGGGCTTCTGGTAAAAAGTATTTTTGTTGTTGTTCAATCATTTCAGAGGTGTCTAACTCTTCCTGACCCCATCCGGGGTTTTCTTGGCAAAGATACTGAAGTGGTTTGCGATTTCCTTTTCCAGCTCATTTTGCAGATGAGGAACTGAGGCAAACAGGGTTAAGTGACTTGCCCAGGGTCACACAGCTAGTTAGTAAGTGTCTGAAGCCAGATTTGAACTCAAGGAGATGAGATTCTACCTATCTAAAATTCTGGAATCTAAATTTCGAATAACCAGGTTCTTGAGCTTAAAAAATAATTCTGCTACTACTCTGCATGTATGTTTTCATTTCCACGTAGAGCAGCTGTTATGACTTTTGTTTTATTGATGGACAAATTAAAATGCCAGAGATTAAAAATACAAGAGATTAAAAATACAAGAGATCAAATGTCCATGTGGTTGACCAGGTACCAGGCTCATAGCTTCAGTCTTCTATCAATGGCCCTTCCATAAATCACTCTCTGCTGAAATTTTCCTTCTCAATTGTTCCTTCTGTTTAAAACACTAAAAGCAAGTGTGGAGTTTCTTTGTTCTTGTTGCTGTTTAATGAGCAATGTGTAATGTTTGTTAAGAAAGGTCTCATTTTTTTTACCTGTATATCTTAACATTGGATGAAAATGTTAACCCTCTTGAGATTGGTTTCTCATTGATTTTGATACTTGGAGGGATACATGGTCACTGTTCTAATTTGGGATCAACAAAAACAAGAAGATTGTGGTGAAGGGGCCTGAGTGACGTTGAAAGTAGTAGCTAGACTCTCTCTCAGCTCTGTTAGCAATATAGGAATATTCTCTGGGTCACAACCTGTCATTGTCATGCCATCCCATGCAAGTCTTGTAATGTCCTCCTATAAACCCTCCATGGGGAAGGCTATCCAATCTACTGGGGCCCTTCCAGTGGAATACATGGACTGTTCACCAGTTAGTCCTCCCTCTCACCACATCCCTTTTACCCCACTGGTTATACATTTCTCCGATGGCATCTTATACCCTGCATATCGTGAGCACCTCTTCATTTGTAGTATATTATTGCCTGATATGGCCCACCATGCACCTCTCCATTGCCTTCTGAGTGACAATAGCCTTTCATTCTTCAAAGACTACTATTCTATCATTTGCAAAATCTTCTAGATTCCATACTTTTCCATTATTAGAAGAGTGTTGTTGTCAAAAGATGGGCTTAGTCACTTATTGTCACTAATTTTCAATTAATTAATTAATTAATAATTAATAATAAATAAATAAATTTTAAAATAAGTCATTTGGGAATGAACTTTTTTGGTTGAACAGTGTCATTGAGTGGAGTTTTGGAGCTAGAGTCACAAGAGACCTTTGTCCATATCCTACCTCCATCACTTATTAACTGTGTGACCTTGGGAAAGTCATTTTTACCTCATCTGAGCTTTAGTTTCCTTATCTCTAAAGCAAGGATAATAATCTCTCAAGGATAGTAACTCAGAGGATTGTTGGGAGGGTGAAATGAGTTAATGTATGCAAAATGCTTCATAAACCTTAGAGAGCTATATGGATGTCAGCTTCTTGAATCCAGAGCAGCTAGGTGACTCAGTGGATCAAACACGGGGCCTGGAGTCAGGAAGACTCATCAACCTGAGTTCAAATATGGTCTCATACATTGACTCATATCCCTGAGTTCAAATCTGACCTCAAACAATTACTATCTGGGTGATCTGGGCCAGTCACTTAACCCTGTTTGCTTCAGTTTCCTCATCTATAAAATGAGATAGAGAAGGAAATGGCAAACCACTCCAGTATCTTTGCCAAGGAAAACCTCAATGGGGTCATGAAGAGTCAGACAAGGCTGTAAAGACTAAAACTTCATGAACCCAGGCCCAGCACTGTCCACCAAACCGTCTAAGTCATCTAGCCCCATTACTATAATACAAATTCAATCTCTGACAGCGGTTCTCCATTAACCTGTAATTCTAACAGAGAATCAAATCAAAATAAATTAGTTTTGCAAGAGATTACTTGAAGGAATGAGCCATCTGGCAATCTCGGTGGCTGACTTGTAAGTTTGTTGGAAAAAATGTAAAACAAAATTTTTTAAAGGACTTGTAGGCACATTTTGACTTCATTCATAATAACGATAGAGCCACATGGAGCAGGAAGTGTCTGTGCCCCCTCAACAAACTAGGGGGCACATACAAAGATTCAGCCCCCCTGAAGCTCAGTAAGGAGGAGTGATAGTCACATATATTGCATTATACTGTATGAAAATGGCTGAGCTTTTCCCATCCTACTGCTTCAAAGTTTTTTTCCCCCCTCAAGAAAGGGGTCATATCATGTAAAAGTAATGATTTGTCTGTGGGAGCGTTTTAATCCACATGAGTACAAGAAGCCAGAGTGGCCAGAGAAGCATCAGAGCATGTTCCCCATGAGAAGCCCTGGTTAGTTAGCTCCGTCCTAGCAGGATATCTCCGAGGAATAGACTC